ACTACCTGTGCGTTCACATCGACTCCACTTTTAACGAGTAATTCAATAATATTTTTATTTTTATTATATGCCGACAAATGAAGACATGTTTCTCCTGTAAATCATAAGACAAGACATAATTAGTAAAGATTTTAATGACGATTTGTGCTACACTTCCACACAAAAAAACAAACAAATAGTTTTAAAAATACACATTAAAAATCTTTCAAATTCGTGTGTGTGTGTGTGTGTTTAATTGTCGATTTGAAAACAAACAATTAATTATTTGCTATTTTTATAATATCTCTAAATGCGATAATCATTTCAAACAGTGATTTATCAAAAAANCTTTCAAATTCGTGTGTGTGTGTGTGTGAGAGAGAGAGAGAGAGAGATTGAATGAGAAAACAGACTTCAATATCATTAGAAAACCAGAAAAAGAGTGAATGATATTGAGATTATATGAAATGGAAATCAAACGGAAAAACCAAACAACTAAACAATTAATTCCTATACTTTACTACTGTATGCATGTGTACTGTATATCAGTATCCCATAGGCCATAGTTATTCGCTACAGACTTTTGGGCGGTTTTAAAGTTTTTCAATACCAGTCTGTCGTAGAGCTATGCGATTAATGTAAAACTTTAAGAGTATTTTTTAAACAAAAACTGATAATAGCATTGCTGTGTGTTTTTTACGGTACATTTCTGGGTCAGTAGACCATTCAATAAAGAGATTAAATTCAATATTTTTGTACAAAATTAAATAAACAGTTTTTCCAGTCATGAAAATTATTGCATAATTTAAAGGATAAAATGCTGTGAAAAACCAGAAATAATAATAAAACAAATGCTAAACACACTCTTTCGTTAGAAATATCACAACAATTCTTGAAATTTGATAAATTTTCGAGAATTCATTGAAAAAAAAACAATTAATATTTTTTGATAAATCACTGTTTGAAATGATTATCGCATTTAGAGATATTATAAAAATAGCAAATAATTAATTGTTTGTTTTCAAATCGACAATTAAACACATCACACGATAGTTGTGTCCAAAGAGCACATACACTACACAATACAGACACACAAACTAACAAAACGTATCCAAACCTTCATAGTTGCGTAACTCTAGGAAATGGAGGGGCAGTTGGCAACTGTCCACCGGATAGTTAACAACATAACCGTCGGAAATACCAGTCTGTCGTAGAGCTATGCGATTAATGTAAAACTTTAAGAGTATTTTTTAAACAAAAACTGATAATAGCATTGCTGTGTGTTTTTTACGGTACATTTCTGGGTCAGTAGACCATTCAATACAGAGATTAAATTCAATATTTTTTTACAAAATTAAATAAACAGTTTTTCCAGTCATGAAAATTATTGCATAATTTAAAGGATAAAATGCTGTGAAAAACCAGAAATAATAATAAAACAAATGCTAAATATCACAACAATTCTTGAAATTTGATAAATTTTCGATAATTCATTGAAAAAACAATTAATCTTTTTTGATAAATCACTGTTTGAAATGATTATCGCATTTAGAAATATTATAAAAATAGCAAATAATTAATTGTTTGTTTTCAAATCGACAATTAAACACATCACACGATAGTTGTGTCCAAAGAGTTGTATGTGATGTGTTATGTCTGTGTGTTTGATTGTTTTGCATAGGTTTGGAAGTATCAACGCATTGAGATCCTTTACCTCCCCGTCAACCGTTGACAGGTGGCCTATCAATTGTTGTATTGGCAGCCTTAATTCATTCGCACGAATCGGTGATATTAGTTGGCAGACAGTGTTGTAGTCAGACTGAGCGCATGCAATATGCAGTGCTGTGTTTCCGTGTCTGTCCCGCAGGTCAACGGTCGCACCGCTAATGACCAGTCGGCGCACGACATTGGGCTGACCCGTCAGTGCAGCCAAATGTAATGGTGTCTGAAACACAAAATTGCAAATTAATTCATTTATTAAAACTAAAGTTCTTAACAAAAAGTTGCAAAAGATTTGTACTGAAAAGTCATTCACAATACAGTAAACTCTAAAACTCAAATAACTATGAATTGAATGAAACAAAAAAAAAGTTTCAATTATAAGTTCATTCAAACAAAAGCTGAACTAAATGTGATTTTTTTCTCTATATGAAAGGCATTTGAAAGCAAATGAAAAACGCGTTTTTGAGTCTCCATTAACTGGTATTTAATGACATACTTGTGATAAATGATTGGAAATGTCGAGAAAGTCGGGATGAGGTGCCAGACGTATGAGCGAATAGCACACATCGACCAGACCTTGAATGACGGCCAGATGTAGGTAAGTGTCTCCGTCCTGATCCGGAGTGAACGCATCCTTAGCCGACACTTTGTCCGATGCGAGCAATGCTAACCTCTCGCCGACTTCCGCGCTCTTCTCGGCCAATGTCTCATCACTGAACTCCTGGTCATCGATATTAAGACCAGAATCAGTAGCGATACAAACGCCAGAATCGGACCACTTGTCATGCGATGCGGTCTTGTCTGAGGCGTTGGTGACCGACGATAGCGACGGATCAGTTAACACACACTTCTGGTCAAAGTCTGACTCAAAATCAATTGATGTTTTGCTAACGGTTTGCGAATCATATCCGGAATCGAAGAGGGAGTCAATGGTAGATGTCTTTGAACTATCAGCTGATGGTTTGGTGGTATGTGTGGACGACTGCGGAGGAATATTCCACTTTTGACGGTCTTTAGCAGTCGTTGCTGTCGATGACTTAGTCGTCGGACGTTTTGTCCGATTGTAATCCATTGTAAAAATTTGTGGTAAAATCAGTGGATATCTCCAGAAATAAATTTGTGGTAATTATATGTATATAAATTGCAATCAAGAGTTGCGGCAATAGTTGTGATAATAATTAAAAATATATAATAATTTGTGGCAATTATTTGATGCAAACGTCAAATCATTTTCAATAATAATAATANATAAATTTGTGGTAATTATATGTATATAAATTGCAATCAAGAGTTGCGGCAATAGTTGTGATAATAATTAAAAATATATAATAATTTGTGGCAATTATTTGATGCAAACGTCAAATCATTTTCAATAATAATAATAATATATTAAATGTCATTAAAAATATATAATAAATAAATATAATTAATAATTAGATTGGATTTCCGTATAATCAAAGCATTGGATCAGATGTCTGGCCGACTGTCTCTTGTCTTCACACAAAACTATAATCACTTCATAACGTGTGGTGTAGTGACTGAAGGAGTGGTTCCCACAAGTGATTCATATTATGAATGATATAAACAGTTGGCAAATGAGTCAACGAGTGGTGATGTGGAGGAAGTGGTAGCGAGTGATCCGACAACACATGCAAACACGTACTGACACTTCTGGAGAGACGGCAATCACCACAAGAAGACCACAAAACACACCAAACGTGAGACAAAGTGTGAATGAATTAAAAACACAATTAAATGAATGTTTGATAAAAACAACACAATTTCGGATTGGATTGAAGGCTATGGACGGGAAAAGAGTTAGTTCTGTGACTGAGAAGTGATTGCCATTAATGGATGATATGATGGTATGGTATGATTACATGCCCGTCATGTCGACATATCGTCACAGACACCGCATGCTTCACCACGAGTAGAGTACCACAGCACATAAAATGGAGTTTCACCCTTTTTGGGAGTTTGGGACGCGAGTTACGACACTCGTCTCGCATACCAGTGCTTGCAATGCATTCAATACACACTATCCTCGCTATAGCCTAGTTTTGTATACGTTTGCAACACTGTCTGTGCTGTTGCCTATTGTATGCATGTATGACCTGTACAATACATACCTGTACACTGTATGCCATCCCAATGCTAACAACACATACCCCCAAACACACCAACCAATACTCAAGTACTACAGTAGTGACGGCCCCCTCACACCCCCTCAGCCCACTCTCACCATCCTTTTACCGGGTTTTTCCAAATACTTGTGCCCACTCATACACTACATTCTCTCTCTCTCTCTCTCTCTCTCTCTCTCTCTCGCATCCAATGTTAACTCTATGGAGAATACGCTATGCCTTCAAAAGTAGTTTTCAAAACTTTTTTCTCATAGCTTTTTGACTGCATATGAAATGCAAACTCAATGTTAGTAAACAATACTAACGACTGATAACTTCGCGATCAAAACAAGTGACAAAAACTTTGTTCTTATAAATCAATTGAAATGCAGATCAAAGTCAAGCACTAAATATGTTTGTTATTCACTACACAAACAACACTTCCCCCGAAGTGAACACAGTTTCAGTGTTACAGTTGTGCGCCTTTTGTTACATTGTATAGTGTTTTGGACCCCCGGGCGACCCCTCCCTATGGCTACTAATTAATTGATTGTTCATTCAATGAGATTTGGCACCACTTTTACAATGACGTGATTTTAATGCACTTTTCAATTCAATTCACTTTTATTGCCTTTTTGTGTAGACATTAATTATGTGCAATACATAGTGTTTGAAAGTTTTATGCAAATGATCTATAAATTAGTTTTATAAATGTATTCAATGTTTAAACGATATAAGCAATGATTATACCATTTATTGTATGATTGAAATCCATATGACATTAATTTTTGTACATTTATTGCATTAATGAAAGATTTAATAAAGTATTGTATTTCTATAAAAATGGTTTTTATTTTTATACTTTAAATGCAAACATAATTTATTTATAGCATCCGTTTCGTTGATTTGCAAAAAGGGCTTAACTCTAGGCCTAAATGAATGTATTGTTAGTGCGTTTACGCCAAAAGCATTCATACAATAAAATCCCGCGTTTTTCTCAATCCCTTTAATGTTAAAAGACTTGCATTTTATTGTGATTTAAACGACAAAACCTTTTGTCAAACAATTGATTGAAAACTTTGTTTTAAGTCTTGTTTTGTTTGAGAAAAAGCATTTCAACGATAATAGCGTTGACCACTCGTGAGGACACAACACAATACACATCTACTCTAAGCGATGGCAGGATTTGACGATTTGGGCGTCTTTTTCAACGACAACCTCTTCAACAACGAAGGAGACAACGCTGACGGCCAGCCCCTGACCGCCGGTGCCGTCAACACAGCCGCCACTAAACGCCGCTTCAAAGAGTTCTTAAGGCAATACAATTCGGGAGACTTTCAGTACAAATACCGGAACCAAATCAAAGACCGATACAATTTGGATCAGTTCTGGTGCGAAGTGTCTGTCAATGAGTTGTCGCAGTTTGACGACGAGTTGGGCGATAAGCTGTCCCGACATCCCATGGAGTACTTGAAGCTCTTCGAGTTGGCCGCCACCGAAGTGGCCGATGAAGTGACCCGACCTCGTGGTGAGCCCAACGCCGACGTGCAGTCCATGCAAGTGACGCTCAACAGCGACGCCCATCCCATCGCCCTCCGCGACCTCAAGTCTGACCAGATCTCCCGATTGGTCAAAATTCCAGGTATTGTCATCGGAGCGTCTAATGTGCGCGCGAAGGCCACTAAGATTTCGCTTCAATGTCGCGGCTGTCGCGAGATTGTCAACGATGTCAATATCAACGCCGGTCTCGAAGGCTATCTCTTGCCGCGTAAGTGTAACAGCGATCAGACGGGCCGTCAGATCAAGTGCCCGATCGACCCGTACTTTATAGTACCCGACAAATGCGAATGCGTTGACTTCCAACTCCTCAAACTCCAAGAGGTGCCCGAATCGGTTCCGCACGGAGAGATGCCCCGACATATGCAGCTCTACTGCGATCGCTATCTCTGCGATAGAGTAGTGCCCGGAAATCGGGTCACAATTGTCGGCATATATTCCATCAAAAAGGTGGCCAAACCGCAGAAGAGCGCAAATGCGGCCGATTCTCGCGCCACGATTGGTATTCGGGCACCATATCTGCGAGTTGTGGGCATTGAGATCAATAGCGAGGGTCCGGGACGGGCGGCGGTCGTGCCCTACACTCCCGATGAGGAGCAGATGTTCCGTCACTTAGCGAGTACTCCCAATATCTATGAACGCATTTCTCGAAGTATTGCGCCCTCTATTTTTGGATCCACTGATATCAAGAAAGCCATCGCTTGCTTACTCTTCAGTGGCTCTCGTAAGCGATTACCCGACGGACTGACCCGAAGAGGTGACATCAATGTCCTGCTTCTGGGAGATCCCGGAACCGCTAAGAGTCAACTGTTGAAGTTTGTGGAGAAGGTGTCACCCATTGGTGTCTACACTTCGGGCAAAGGAAGCAGTGCCGCAGGTCTTACGGCTTCTGTCATCAGAGATCCCGCTTCTGTGAGTTTTTGCATTACAATTACGTTAATGTTTTGTATTTATAAGCATTGATTGATGATTAGCGCAATTTCGTGATGGAAGGCGGAGCTATGGTTTTGGCCGACGGGGGAGTCGTCTGTATCGATGAGTTCGACAAAATGAGAGAAGACGATAGAGTGGCCATTCATGAGGCGATGGAACAGCAGACCATTTCCATAGCCAAAGCCGGCATCACTACTACACTGAACTCGCGGTGTTCGGTGTTGGCCGCGGCCAACAGTGTGTTCGGCCGTTGGGACGACACCAAAGCCGATCAGAACATTGACTTTATGCCCACCATTTTGGCCCGATTTGACATGATTTTCATTGTTAAGGACGAACACAATGAACGCCGCGACGCGACCATCGCTAAGCACGTGATGGAAGTTCACATCAACGCACAGAAGACCACTGTTGAGGAGTCCGTTGAGGGAGAGTTGAGTCTCAATGTATTGAAAAAGTTCATCGCTTTCTGCAAATCGTAAGAATTAGACATTTTTAAAATTATGAGTTTATTTAAGAGTATGTTTTATAATGACATTGTTTTGCAGTAAATGTGGTCCCCGTATGTCACCCGCGGCCGCAGAGAAGCTTAAGAAACACTACGTTCTCATGAGAAATGGCAGTCGAGAGCAGGAGAACGAGTGCCACAAGAAGTCTGCGATTCCCATAACAGTGCGTCAATTGGAGGCTATTATCCGTATATCGGAATCGTTGGCCAAAATGCAATTACAACCCTTCGTTCTGGACGTTCACGTAGAAGAGGCTCTGCGACTGTTCCGAGTGTCGACTCTGGCGGCGGCCACTTCTGGCGACCTGAGCGGCGCCGAGGGCTTCACCAGCGAAGAGGAACACCAGTCGATGATGCGGTTGGAGAAGCAGATCAAACGCCGCTTCCCTATCGGCGCACAGCTCTCGCAGAACAGTATTGTCAACGATTTGACGAAACAAAACTTCACCGAACAGTCCATTCAGAAAGTGTTGTTTTGTATGCTTAGAAAAGGCGAAATACAGCACAGAATGCAGCGTAAAATGCTTTACAGAATTAAATAATTAATCCATTTATTAATTGTATTTTACTTTAATTTTCAAATAATCTTTTTTTAAAAATAATTTTAAACACATTTTTACGATTCAATCCTCACTTCGACAGTGTTTGCCATAATTTTGATTCTAAAATGCATTTAAGTTAACAGTAAATTAGATTTTATGTAATGTCTGATCCCTATATGCGATGGCAATGAAAGATTGAATATTCCCTAAAACAGCACAATATGTCACATCAATTACTTCCCATATTATGGTTTTGTAACATTTAATTTCTATAATCAATAAAATCGTTAATTAGTCTTAAATAATATACGATTTTCATTAAATGTCAAATACCCTAAAACAGCACAATATGTCACATCAATTACTTCCCATATTATGGTTTTGTAACATTTAATTTCTATAATCAATAAAATCGTTAATTAGTCTTAAATAATATACGATTTTCATTAAATGTCAAATCAATTGATCAAATTTTGTCATGTGTTTGCTTTCACTTTATTCATAATAATAATAGTTTTACAATTTTGTGCCTAAGTTATTACAACCGACTCATTGGTAATCACAGTTACAGTAATATTGTATTTGAAAACATTTAAAATTAATAAAATATTAATGATTTCATTTATAAATTGCTAAAAACAAATCTCTTTCAACAAAATTAAACCATAAAATCATTTGAAAACCGGATTATAAAAGGAATATTCATTTGAAGGAATCATTTAAATGGAAATATTTAAGGGAATAATAAAAATAACAATCGACTCGTTATTATGGTTACTGAGGCCGAGGAGGTGTGGGTTGTATTTTGGGCGGACAGTGAACCGCATTGGCCTTCACTCTGTGGTCTAAGGGGCAGGCGACTGGCATTTACTTATATCGCCAGTTTCTCAATGGCATTTGTGTCGGCCACAGGTTTGGCCACCGCTTAACTCAGGAAACGTCAAACGCAAACCGCAGCACAGGCTAGTAGATGTGCTGCGGACCCGACCATCGGCTCACCCACTCTTCGCCCACTGTATCCTTCGCTGTGGCGCACAGTTTGTTGTCGTCGTCGGTGAAGACATTGCGTATGTGAGTCATATCGTGGGCACTTTGATCGGTGAGTTCCCGATTGGGAACAACGCCCGCGTGGACTACCAGTGCGTTAAGAGTCGGCACACTTATGGTGTACGGCATACCAATCAAGTAATCCATTTGGTTTTGAGACAACCCTTTCATCCATAGGTTCTGCGGTTTCAGAGCTGATTCGCCGTCCTTTCTGTACTTCAAGTACTCTTTGATCACCACTTCGTCGTGATTTCCGCGAACAGACAGACATGTGTTACAGTTTTGGATCAAATAGTCCAACACTTGGCTATTCTTCGGGCCCTTATTCACCAAATCGCCCACAAATAGCTTCAGAATGCGATCGTTGTTCGCATTCTTCTGGTTGTTATTCGTGTCGTTATTATCTCCGGCACTCTTAATGGTGTGAATTTGATCCAAGAGTTGTATCAACTCATCATAACATCCGTGAACGTCGCCGATCACCACAACCTCTTCGAAGCGGTCGATGAACTCTTTGGTCAGTGTCTGGTGTAGTATCGGTGGTAAAGGGATGTCCCAGTGATGGCCACTCGCGGCCAACGATGTCTTCAGATGAAAGTTCGGCGGCAATAGTGATAACAGAGACCGAAACGATTGGACGACATGTGATAACAAAGCGACCATTTTTTAGACGTTTTGTTCACTAAAACTACTCATAAACTAATGGTTAACAACAAAATCACAATCAAATCAAAGGCAGCGTTTTGTGTCGTTAACAACAGAGTGAAGAGTTAGTGATGATTAGCGTGCTGTTCACGAAATGTTTACCAAACTCATTAGTTAACTTATCATCAATCGCAAAACACCGGTTACAAACACACTAAAGTGTGTTTGTGTCAAAAACTAAATGCAAACTAAATCTGGAAATGCATTTGAATTGCATTTATGTTTACATTTGAATCGCTGCTCAACACGAGTGCTCCGATTGGCCACACATTCACTGATCGCACACTCACTCAACCAATCAGTGCTCAAACGTTGCGTTCGCTGTCTTTCAGCGCCGATTCAGTTCTGCCAATGCTTTACATATGTATTGAATTTTGCAATAATTTTGGTTAAAATAAAGTTTTATTTTTATAGTATTGAACATTAATAGACACTATCGTCACAATCACTGCCATCACCACTGGGTATCACATATGCAATATGTCTCATATGGTGTCCACAATAGTGTTGCCGCACATTATATTGCTGTGTGTTTGGCCGCAATCGTGTCATATGTATTGTTGCAAGTGTTGAGCCGTGGAAGTGGTGTATCTTAAATATGATTAATGGTAAGCGTTGACAGTAATCCCTACCCACTGCTGATCCAGTCTATGCACGTGGAGTGAGTTGTAATCGCATCCAAACATCTATTTGTTCACTAATATAGTGATTAGTAATTAATCGTTAACTTCACTACTCTTTGGCACAAAAAGAGGCGGTTCTGGACTCACGCCAGAGATTGGATAAGAGAGACATTCGGTGTAATATTCATAATCTCCGGCACTAAATATCATGTGTTATGTCATGTCATATAACTTGCCTTTGATTTCTTACGCGTGGAAACTATTTTTAATTTGTAGTCTATTTAGTGAATAGTTTTTCTGCACTTCAATCCCTAAAATTTGAATATTTATCACAAAAATATCAAAAACAAGAATATTCTGTTAAAAGAATTTATGCTTTAATGATATGAATATTAGTATTGTGTTTGTAATGTGTTTATCCAAATGTAAGATATGTTTCGAGAATTTTTCATTTTAAATTCAATGCATATGTAATTCAAGTATAAATATACAAAACTTTAAATACATACACGTGTAATGTATGCAACATTTACATTTAATGTATGTCTAAATAAAACTTTCAAAAAAATATACAAATATTTTGTATTTAATTTTTAAAATTAAAAATATTTACATTTATTTGTATGTTATTTAATGAGTAGAAAAATTATGAAAAAAATTGCAGACAAAAAGGCAAATGTTAAGAATGTCTCCGTTTATAATTAGTTATTTACTTTTATAACTCTTATATCATTAGGAAATCTGAATTCAAGTTTTGAAAGACTTGTTCAACAGTTGCCCAACGGATCAAAATTGTCTGTAAAACAATGAGAATGTGTTGTTTGAAAGTCATTGAAATGTATTTATAATGCAAAACATAATTATATAATTGTTGGCACAAAACAATAGATTTAGGAGAGAATAGAAATGAATGAACAATACGTTCAGCAAAAGCAGAAATAATAAGTTTTTGTGCAAAAGAGAAAATGAGAGAGAATGTGAGCAAAGTTTTCTATTTCTAACTTTAATTAAAACTCCTGACATTTCCATAGAAAATATTTCACACAATTATTGTCTCATTTAATGACTTTAATGATTGAAAAGAATTTAAAGTTTTTCAATTGACACAAACATTTCAAAAGTACAAAAATAGTCAAATAATACATAATATTATCAAATAATCCGTTAATTTTAAATAATCTGAAAAATAAATACAATTTTTAATGTTTAAATAACTCAAAATTATGACAAATAATTAGAAAAATAATATTTAAATCCATAAAAAACTTAAGAAGAGTTTGGTTTATGAAATGATTGGAGTCGTTGTAGTGCTCACGGATTGCGTGGTTGTTTGGGCTCTTGTATTGATGGCGACTCTGGTTGCGATGCCTTCTTCTGGAGTTGGCATTCAGTGATTTGATGATAAATCATGTCTAACTTCCAGTCGTGAAGCAATTGTCTGTATCGACTCACCTCCGCCTCCAGAGCCATATTCTCATTGGTCAACACATCTCTCACTTTCTCTATTTTGTCGATTGCGTCCAACTTTTTCTGTCGACACCGAAGGGCTGCCAATCGATTGCTCTCCCGTTTCTCTCGCATTATCTGGTCGTACGACAAATTCTTACGCCATTGACCTCTTCTTCGGTGAACAACGCGTTTGACTGACGGCTCGTCTCCAGAAGTGGTTCCACTTAAGCCCATATAATTCGTGGCATTTCTTTTGTCACCATTTGTTAAGCAATGATTGGTTTCAATGACAGAAAGTCTTTGTCTCGACATATAAGCTGTCGATTCGTCGATAACCAACTCTTTGGGACCACTACTGGCTTGAGATGACGAGAGACTACTCTGCGATGGCTTTAGATCCAGTTCTTCAACGGTCTTCGGAATCATATCGCAAGTCTGCAGTTGTAATGCACATATGGGATCAGTTCTGGGATCAGTTCTGTGATCATGTGTGTCATGTGTGCCAAGAATTTGTGTGATTTGGTGTTGATATGCATACGTCCCTGAAATACAACATCAAAAACATATTCAAAATAACATTAATTTTGCAAAACATTAATTAAGCGTAAGATTAATACAAACTTTGTGTTTCTTGAAGACTAGTGTAGTTGTAGTGACCACTACTCGACTGGAGGCCGGAATCGACGGTCCAATTGGCTGGGAATGGGGTGAAGGACTGGACCGGCGGTGCGTTCACGTGATTGTAACCATAATTATAGTGACTGTTGTGTTGATTATAGGCCTGAGTATAGGAGTGATCGTCGGCCTGACCTACGGCTTCACTATAGGTCTGACTGCAGGCCTGACTGTAGGCATGAGTGTAGGCCTGAGTGTATGGATGAGTGTATTGGCGACCGATGTTTGAGCCGATATTAAAGCTGACATTCGTGTCGAGCGATCGGTCGGACGTGTCGTACGGCGACTCAAAGCTCAGTTCATTCACATTTGGCTTTACGTCCATTTGGTTGTCGTAATCGTAATCAAAGCCATAGTTATTATTACACGACTGATAAGTGTTATCCAAATATTGATTCATTGTCTCAGACTTTCTTATCACACATTTGGCCGCAAATGAGAGCAAAGTTAGACAAACACTCGCTTAAGAGATCACGGATTGAATGATTCAATAAAGCGTTTAATCCTTTATTCAAAGTGAGTCTATTGTGTGGACACAACTGACCTAAAGTTCACTACAGTATTGCTGTACTCATAACGTAAACCCATAAGTAATGCATTACTATTGATAGTATTAGTTAGTATAACAGTTGACCACATTTTGTACTTTTTATACAGTTTACAGTTATGAGTGGCTATCGGGGGGACAGTCGGGGGGACTCACACTTACTTTACGCGCTTAAACTTTACATAACTTTCGTTTAATTGATTAAAACTGAGTTAACATTAATTGTTATAAGTATTAATTAGTGGTATAATTATGTCGATATATTTTTGAATCCCTTATATCTAAAAATTAAACTATTTTTAATGAAATGATTTGTTAATTAAATGAAACAAATGAGGGATTAGTGAAAGCATTGAAACCTAAATGTGAACTGAATTTGGATTTTCCCAAACGCTGAACACGAGTGGCTGGGAGTCAGTGCTTAATCTCACGTTCATTAATCGACTAGTAATTAATGCTCTCAAATGAATAGTTATAATCCAATTATAACTCACTACAGTATCATAATGGTCACCATGTTCAAGTTGCATAGGCACTCAAGTTTTACAAATCACCATGATTATATTTGTTACAAAAAACAGCATTTTATATATTCAACTTATTAAAACATTTTATTTAATTAAACAATTCATATAACTATTAAAACAGAAGTCTTTTTTATAAGAATCGTAAGAATATTACAAAATATATTAAAAATATGAGAATTCATTGAACGGTAAACCCATCGCCAAAGCCGACGGACGGAATGGGTTCGGGTTTGTGGTCACACATCGGACACAATTGGTTGCGAATCTCTGACGAACGCATCCAAACGACTAGATTCTGACGCTCGCCGTCTGTGACGGGAAGTGTTCCGTGCATTAGTTGTCCCAAATGAAAGAGTCCGACACCCGGCCTGTGCTCGACGGCTGCCACCGCTAAATCATTGGCATCGCGTCGGGGTTTGGTCCGGAAGTCACCGAAATATACTTCACTGCCTTCGAAGACATTTCCTAAACATACGTTTAGTGTAATCTCGGAGTTGTCGTAATGGGTGAACAGCTCGGCGTCGGCGGTGGCCGAGTATTTAATAGTAAACGCGCGGTGAGTGTCCAGTCCTGCGCCCAACCAATCGGGGAAAAACACTTTCGCCATTGGATTCAAGTAATGTTCCCGAAGTGGTGTCAGGAAGTGCTCGTCGAAACCCAATTCATTCAATAGAATACCTGATTATCAATACATTAAACACTTTAATAATAAGTCATGAAATGAGAGAATTTTAATAATAGGATTTATGGACACAAACCATAGTTATTCATAGTATTAGGTCTGGTCTTAGGCATCGGGGAATCGTTGAAATTATCAATTTCTTCGACAAATTTACGACAAAAGTCTTCCGTAAAGATATTGAATTTAAAAACTCGTTTTTCTAAACTAATCGTTTGAACAAATGGTAAAACTTCTTGAAAAGTGTCTCCTCTTCGGCATCGATCGACTAAATCGATGAATGCTTTTTGCAGATACTTGTCGTCCAACTTATAGATCTCCGGATGTTTTGGCGTATAATTAGTTTTAATAAATTGAGTCCGTTTTGCGATCTCATTGTCGAGACTGTTTCGACGATCAAACTCTGTCTTCAGTTGTGTCAACACTTCCGACCGTTTGTCGTCTGTATTACAGCCGACAGCAGACAATTGGTCGCCGAATTGGGACCAGAAATCGGTGTCATTATTGGCGTACTTGACGTGAGTCTTATATTTGGACACAAAGTAATTGTTTGTCAAAAAACATTTGCATCGATAATACTGTTAGAGAATCACAAGAATTGATATAACTTTAAATTGTTTACAAATATTAGAGAATAATCATTGAATACTTGCCATCGTTTCTGAAAGTTGAAACTCTGCTCAACAAATGTTGGCACTCGAGGAATGGGTTAAAATTAAATTCAGACTAAACTTATGCTGTATTTATATATTGAGACAATTTATTGATAAAGTGATACGAAATGTGATTAGATTTAAGATACAAATATCGCGTAAAATGAGCCTTTATTTAACGTCAATAATATATGCAATAAATGACAATCTGTTGAAAATGTGTACCACTCTAACAGTGCTTTTAGTTGTGATAAGTAACGATGATGAAATTGGATTCAATGGCAACATGACATATTCAATATGACATTCATCAAACTTGCAAATTGTTACCCAAATGTAAAGTGTTTGACAGTTGCCTTCAGTGCACTTAACGTGAACTTGTGTTTAGTATGAAATAATTGCTCATTTAGTGACAACATAGTCAATTAACTAACCAACCAATTAACTACATACTAAAGACCATGTAACATGGTTCATGTTAAATGTTTTGCTAATGTTATGTAAGGATGATATTAAACACACGAAAGCACTGACAAAAGTACTTACGGTTGATGTGAAATGGGATGCAATAGAGTATTTCATAGACTATCCTATGGTTTGGCATTTGAGCGCATAATCCGATGTCTGAAACAGTTTTATCTGTTTTTACACAACAAATGCCATTAAAGGCATCGAAACGTGTGTTTGTTTTCATGGATTCAATCGGTTTTGATTTGTGCCTTAATTAGTGTTTGAATTGAGACAATAGGCAGACAATTGCAGACAATGAGGAATCGCGGCAAACGTCGGTCACCGCAGCCATCGGTACACACATTGACCGCAAGAGTGGCTGAACTCGGCTTTAAGGACAATAAGAGAAGACTCGCTCTCATCGATGAGTTGCTTAAAAGTGATTACAATTTATTTATTGACAAAAACTTTTTATTCATAATTAATTTTAATTGTATTTTATTTTTGATTACATAATAAAAGAGTGCACTTATTATAACAACAACACAACTAATTGCACACAACTATTGGATGAACACAAAGACATCAATGGTTTGGTCGACCAGATAGTGGCCATCGAAAGAGGTTTACATTCAAAGCATACAAAATGTGATTATAATATAAAATTGATTATGAATTTTGTGATACAATAATAGGGATTACGATTTCATTGCCGAAGAGATGTGATGACAATTGGTTAGCATTTAAACAATGGCTAAATGATAATGAAATTGACGTCTCGAAAGTGGACATCAAATGGTGGGACGACAGACAGGGCTTTGGTTTGACGGCTCTGTCGGACATCAAAGAGACGGAAGTGTTTCTTGAGATTTGCAGACGTGTTATGATTACTGGCGAAACGGCTCTGAAATCGGATCTCAATTTAGGTATTGTTTTTTGGGATTAAATATAAATAAAGTGTTGAAGTGTTGAAAGAAAATGTGATTAAAATATGCGTTGAATTGGTTTAAAGCGTCGTTCATCAGCGAAGACCCGGTTCTGCAACACATGCCAAACATCGTTGTGGCCCTCCATGTGATCGACGAATACTGCAAAACCGACTCATTCTGGAGGCCGTACTTACAATGCCTGCCGTCGGCTTACGAGACCGCTCTATACCTGTCCGATGAAGACGTAAACCAATTGAAAGGAACGCAAGTACTCGAAGAAGTGGTGAAAATGAAGCGAAGTATTGCCCGACAATACGCCTACTTTGCCAACCAATTGCACACCAATGATAGGGCAATGAAACTGGAGTTCAAGAACTTCTTCACATATGAACTCTACCGGTGAGTGAGAGGAATGTTATGATGTTTTTGTTAGCGATTATGTGGTGTTTGTGTGGGAAACCAACGGCTATTGATATCACTTCTTGAGCGGAACTGCGAGGGCGTTGTATTTGTGGTCCATGTGTTTGAGTGGGATGTGTCCGACGATTGTCGCCGGCGTTTCCAAATCAATACACCGATTATAACGACCAATACTGCGATTATAGCGACGCCGCCCGCGATTCCGGCCAACATATATCGGGTCCGATTGGCAGCGCTTTTGGCCAATAATGCGTTTGAAATATCATATAACTCTTCGTTGCTTTTCAATTGTCTGTCATTTATATGATTCTTAGCGTTGAATTGATTGTTAACGGTTCTCATAGTGACAGTGTTTGTCGGCTCCAAAGTAATGGGATTTCTGTCCATTTCGTGAATTCTTTTGTTGAAGAAGTTTGTGGGCGAATAGAAGTGAGGCAGCGGTGCCGTCGGCACAGGTATGGCGTGCATTGTTTGGGCGGTTATCGGCTCAATGATTGGCTGCAAATCCATCATCGGTTGAATTAGTGTTAATTGCGGCGCTTTTGGTGGGAAATGTGCCGCATATGGCGGTTGATTGACGTGATATACAGGCGCTGGCATTTGCGGCTCAACGTATGGACGTTTTATAGGCGTCAAAGTGTTTGAGTGCATTTCTGGTCTGTCTCTCATATCTTTGTGCACATTAGAGTTGGAATCGCTTAAGTGATTGTTCACATTATTCTTATTTACCACTATTTCTTGACTTTTTTCAAATTTATGGTGATTTTGGACTTTGTTGTGAGTGTTGTCCCCATTTGTTGAATGAAATTCTTGATTATTGGGACTACTGTTGAGTAGTAATGGTTTTGATTCGTGTGAAGCCATTTGGTGTGAAGATTGCGGTCGATTTGTGTTGTGGTTTATGTGATATTTTTGGTGAATTGCCAAAAACGGCCACAAATGGCCATTAAAGTGGTTGTAATTGTGGTCATAATTTTGATAGTTATAGGGCTGTTGTGGTTGTTGTTGAAAGTTTGGTGTCATTTCCATATAAAACTGATCATTGATTTGGTGTTCATTTCGGCGAACTTTATCGTAGTTTTGATGACCAATAGGTAGTGACCAGTGATTGAATGGATATTGATAAGGAAAGGGCTGACCGAATAGCCACCGAGGATTAATGGCACCGGGAATTGGCGTTATTTGACGGTTTAATCCATTAACTGATTGCAAGAATAACGATATTAGATATAAACCAAATGCAAAAGCTTTCAATTTCCTGTATTTTTCAAACATTTTATCGCTTAAAACATATGTAAAGAAATGTATTTTTGTCTAAACTTTTTAAATGATAAAACACTTCTCTATACCTTTGAACGAGTATTGAGACTGAAATGTAAGCGAAACTACAAAAAAGTTTTGTCACTCGAAATGCGGGCGAAATATTTAAATAATTTATTTATATATCATTATTATTATTACATTTATATAAATATAATATATATTTATATATAATTGACTCATTATTCCTTACGATTAAATTTGTCTCAATTGTGTTATACGTGTCTATAGTTGGGCGGTATCGACAGTAATGACACGACAAAACGCCATCCCTTCCTGTGATGGCCAGTCTATGACAACAGCACTCATTCCTCTCTGGGATATGTCTAACCATAAACACGGAAAGGTATTCAACACTTGATTTACCCAACAATTAGTCTATTAATTATTGTCTCTTTTATTGACCAAAATTATAATTATTAATAGCTTTCAACTGATTATGACTTAAACACTGATTCTGGTGTTTGTCGTGCGATGAATGACTTTAATACTGGAGAACAGGTTTATTATTGCTATTCATTATATAATGAAATCTTATTTATGATAATTGATGTCTTAAGTGCTCACTTTGATTGTCCACTAAATTCAGATTTTCATATACTATGGCTCGCGATCTAACGGCGAGTTCTTCGTCCACAACGGCTTCGTATACGACGATAATTGCAATGATTTCGTGCCTTTAAGACTAGGTATCAGTCGAAACGATCCGCTATTTCAGCATAAATACGATTTATGTAAAAAACTGGATCTAAACATATCCGGTGTCTTTCGGTTACACCATAAATGCCAACCAATTGACCAAAATTTATTGGCATTTCTTCGCGTTTTTCACTTTAATAAAGGTATTTATTGTCACATAAATTAACATTTTTATTGATTAATGTATGAATTTATGGTAAAATTGCTATTTTTGTTTGTTTTTCATTGATATTCAGATGAAATTGAGTTTTGGTTACAAAACGAGAATATATCCGACATATATAGCGCTGAATGCAAATCATTAACGCATTTAAATGAGAAAATACAACAATTTCTGTCCAATCGATCGGCGCTTTTACTTATTGGTTATCCGAAACCGGAATCACAACTCGTATATAATAAGGCAAACGTTGAGAAGTTAATTAAAAGTGAAATGAATTTACTCCACAGTTATGTCCAGTCAATTGCATTAACCAGTGTTTAAGGAAATCATGTTTTCAATGAATAATGCAATGAATTGGCACTAAAATCAATGAAATGAATACCAAATGGAATCGATTATACTATAAATAACTTTATATATAATTATTATTATTTATTTACTGTATTTATATAATTATACACTTGTATATAATATATAAGTTATTTTGCAACAGAACTTATGATTTATATACAGAATTCAATCAATCATTCAAACAGTAAAACTCGTAATTATTTATATATTTATTTACTGTATTTATATAATTATACACTTGTATATAATATATAAGTTATTTTGCAACAGAGCTTATGATTTATATACAGAATTCAATCAATCATTCAAACAGTAAAACTCGTAATTATTTATTAATAGTTTAATAATATTGTCGGAAAAAATGAGACTTCTATGAAAATAAATGCTCTCTAAAGCGGTTTAAAGTAGTAATTAAATACAGTATATATTTTAGATGACAACAAATAGAGAAGATTTAAATGTTTATTACAATATTATGACATTTTATTGTTTTATTTATTTATAATAGTATATAAAAACATTTCTTTCATAGACAACACAACAGACAATATTGTAATCAATTGCTATATTATATAACAGAAGTTATAAATATATTGAAAGCATTAATTGATCAATATTTTCGTTAACTCGTAAATCACTTGTGATTTAAATAAACAAATAGTATTGTTATCAACGATCCATCACTTGAGAAGTGCTAGTCTTCAACACAAATCTAACATTACATAACATTTTTGTCGTTTGTTTCCATATATTTATCTCTGTATACATTATGAGTAGAGATGGGGTTCTGTTGTCCGTATTATTCAATGAAATTACATTTACATCCAAATTATATTAATAAACAAATAATAAATAAATTCTGAATTAAAATTGAAAATAATTTGAGTTAAAAAATTGTCAATTTTTGTCTTCAAAAGGGGAGAAAAATAAGTCTTTTTTATTAAATTAGAAAATAACAAAATTTCTAAAATAAATAAAAACTAATTAACAAAACATGCGTTGGATTTGTGAATATTTTAGATGACAACAAATAGAGAAGATTTAAATGTTTATTACAATATTATGACATTTTATTGTTTTATTTATTTATAATAGTATATAAAAACATTTCTTTCATAGACAACACAACAGACAATATTGTAATCAATTGCTATATTATATAACAGAATAGTTATTGAAAGCATTTATTGATCAATATTTTCGTAAACTCGTAAATCACTTGTGATTTAAATAAACAAATAGTATTGTTATCAACGATCCATCACTTGAGAAGTGCTAGTCTTCAACACAAATCTAACATTACATAACATTTTTGTCGTTTGTTTCCATTTATCTCTGTATACATTATGAGTAGAGATGGGGTTCTGTTGTCCGTAGTATTCAATGAAATTACATTTACATCCAAATTATATTAATAAACAAATAATAAATAAATTCTGAATTAAAATTGAAAATAATTTTAGTTAAAAAATTGTCAATTTTTGTCTTCAAAAGGGGAGAAAAATAAGTCTTTTTTATTAAATTAGAAAATAACAAAATTTCTAAAATAAATAAAAACTAATTAACAAAACATGCGTTGGATTTGTGA